TCAAGGTTAAATAAAGGTTGAAAAAAAAAAAAAAAAAAAGAAAAAAAAAAATACAGGATATTCTTGGCATCTAACTGTCAGAAAAATAATAAAATCTTTGTTGTAGAACTTGTTTAATTAAGATATCATGTAATTAGGTTTTGTTACATAGGGTGCGACCAAAAATGTTTTGTGCACCCATTTCCAAAAATGAACTTCAAACCCTGTGAGGGGAATTTGTGGCACTTTGTGCACCTGTCAATGAAATCCTCTGAACATCACATCATTGAAAGTCACGAAAACCCGAAATACTTTCTAGAAGTCTGAAATCTCTTATTTTTTTTTTCCAGTTTTGAGGGACATCAATGAGCGAGGGAGAGACTTGGAGAATGTGCTGGTCCAGTACACAACCTTCGTCAAACCAGCGTTCGAGGAATTCTGTCTCCCTGTAAGTCACAGGGGTTTTTCTAGAAAAAAATAGCATCAGGGAGCATATTGCAAGCGTGGCGAGGGAGTGAAGTGACCGAGAGGGGATTTTTCAATGAGAGTAACCCAGTTTGTAATGCTAGAATGCATTGTTGCATTGTTTTTACATCTTTACTTGGAAAAGATCATTTTGAGACAGACTAAATGGTGTGTAAGTACCCACTAAGGTTCAATTGGAAAATTGATATGAGGGAGCTGGCTGGTTACATGTGGTAGCAGCTCCCTTATTCCCCTGTTTAGAAAAAACCCTGAGTCATGTCAACTTTTGTATCATCTCTTGAGGAAAGACTGTGTATTCCTTAAGGTAGCTGTGATACAAGGTAACACATTCAATTTTCTTTCGTTTTTCCCCCAGACAAAAAAGTATGCAGATGTCATCATTCCAAGAGGAGTAGAAAACAAAGGTAAACAAGAGTCCTAGTTACTCTATTACTTTTTTACTAAGAAACTGTCTATATGGACATAGATGCAGTACTGCAAATTTCTGTACCTAGTAATAATAGACAGTAGTTAGCCATATGGCTACTTCAGTATGCAAGAGGTTCAAAGCTAAGAGTAAGTTCAGGCAGGAGTTGATAGGGGCACATGTAGTTTGTATGATGTATGTCTAAGTCCTGGAAGACTAGCTACATACTTGTCTGTTTGTACTTGTACAAAATGTATGGTTGCTAATGGAGAAAATAAAGCACATAAAGCTGTTTTCTTTTCCTGCAGTTGCCATAAACCTGATTGTGCAGCACATCCAAGACCTGATGAACGGGGGGTGGAAGAGACACAATGGGAGAAACCGCTCTGACTCTGAGGGCATGGAGATCCCACTGCACTGAGTATCACCAGTAGTGCTGCATACCTAAACCCACATTTAGGTTCAGGTCCGGATTCAAGTCCAGAGGTTTAGGTTCAGTTCCGGACTTGTAAGTCCGGACCTAAACCCATGACATGAACAAATTGCATGTTGGCAACCTTGCAATGTTGTCTGGGTGAAACTTTGGCCACACAACATGAAGGCCGGTACTTGACGATGCCCGATGGCAATGTTTTCTTCATTTTGCAGCAAATATTTTGCAATCTACGGAAGGTATTAGGTGGTTTGGAAAGAAAAGGGTTATGTGAAATGGTCTTTTATGGTAATAAGTCTGGACTCGGTTCTTGACTTTTAGGTTTTTTTGGACTTGAACCTAAACATTCTTACAAGTCCGGATCCAAGTCCAGTGAACCGGTATGCAGCACTACTCACCAGCTCCCTACATTACATACTGCACAATGTACCGGCAGAATGTACTGCACCTGCGCGAAACCATCATTTTTCTCGGTTTCCGTTGGATGTTTCGTCAAATGTTGCATCAGAATTTTGCCTGTTGCAGAAAATAGTTTTTCCAACACAACATTTGGAAACTACAGACGGATGTTAACCCTATATGGGCGAATGTGACCTTATATGAGATGTTCTGCCAAAGTGCTGTGCACAATACGTTGTGGGTTTTGCGCAGGTGCAGTACGTTCTGCCGATGTGCTCACAACAGCTGATAAGGGAAGGACAGTGCTCTACAGTGTGGATCATTTTGTACGATGTCTTGTTTGATCCTTGCGTAAGGTTCAGGTTATCTCTACCATTTGATGTACAAGAAAGAAAGAAGAGAAATGTTACAGAATACAGGTGCCATTTTTGCTAACTCTGCAAGAAATGTAGCATCTCACTGTACTGTGTGTATAGCTGTTGCAGTCATTGTACAAATGTGTGCCCTTTTCTGTTGCACGCCACATTCATTCACACGTAAGCTTATAAGGTTATGTTTAGAGTCTTACTTATGTACAATAATGTTCTTAATACTTGAGGCTTCAGCCAATAAGAAATGGGAAATAGCTAAATGCGACAGATTGTCTTACTCTGTCTCTAAGCTTTATCAGTTATGATAGACCAATTAACAGTAAGTGAAGTTTAGCTAAGTCTCATGTGGTAGCTGTTCTTTCCTACAGTGCATAGATGTACAGGGTATTACTTACTAGAGGAACTTTTATTATGCTTGGGAAGTTGGGAGACTATCCCATTGAAATGGTGCCAATATAGTGAACCAAAGTTATCGATACATGCACTTTTACATTGTTTAAAGCCACTGGGGTGTCCGTAGGCAAAAGTGTGGCAGACTGTTTTTTGTCAAACATGAGTTAGCTACAATGTAGCTACTTTCCCCATAGACATACATGTAGATCTTTCCGCTGAACAATTGCATGGTGGAAGAATCAGAAAAGATATATGCACAGTCAGTTGTCATCCCCAACCAAACCTCAAAACTACCTACATAGCAGGAATATCTTATCTGTTTTGCTTTTTCAACACATTTTAACAGTTTTGACCTGGACATTGAATAGACCTTATTAACACTGACCCCATTGCATGCTGGGAGACCTGGGGCACTATGGGTAGTGGATCTATCATGTCTTGACTCATTTTGTATGTGGAAATAAGTTATAGTTCATACTTTTACTGTAACCCAGAATACATCGCTTTTCAAACCACCAATCAAGAATTTATCTATAGTATAGATATGTGGCGACAGCCTTACTTTTGTGATTTAGTTATGTCTATATTTTTGAGACAAAGGTTTATCTATTATCAGTGAAAAAGAGGCAAACAAGGCAATGGCATTCTAACACCTTTGAAGGGTGACAGTAGAGCTCTGTGTATAGTCGAAAGGGCAACCATGAAGTTTGGTCAAAAGCAGGATTTTTGAGAGGGTATAGAATTTTCTTCATACACAACCAGTAAGGTTCTGACCTGCTTACATTTCGATGTCTATCAGACACCTTCCTCAGAGCTTCTGACTGGAGTTCTGCAACCTTACTGGTTGTGTATGAAGAAAAATCTATACCTTAAGTATCTCTTCCAACCTGATGAAATTATTTACGGAAATTAGGATTTTTGAGAGTTCTCAAAAGTTGGATGAGATTGTGAACTGTGGGTCATTTGTTGAACACCTTTATTGTAATATTGTAATAACTGATATACTTCCGCTGTTGAAACTGTATAATATTGTCTGCTGCCAAAAATATATAAAACAAGAGTATAACCATATTTTAGGGTTGCTATAACTTAAATGTTGACCAAGTAAATTTACCTTTACTTATTATAATTAGACTAAGTATTGTACTTAAGTTTAAGACTACAGAACTTTATTTAATACTTGTACTAAGTTGTAGCGATATGGTCAATATCTACAATGCGAAAAAAGGGAAATATCTAAATGCTACAAGTAACAAAATGTCTTACACTTGTCTCTGAGATATTGCTACAATTGAGCCGTTTCAATATGTAGTGCCGTAACACTAAAACTGTTAACCACCAAGGGCATTCCAGCAGTTTTCTTGCTGTCCTAATGCAACTGAACTCAACATAAGTGTAATCCAGTGCCTTTGTATCTAATAACAGATGCAATACTTTCCAATCTCTACGAACATATCCACACACCAGGAACTGCTCAGCCTTTATTGTTGCCAATTAAGCACAACTCTGTATGTGACGTATTCAATCTGCATGTAAAAATTTCTGTAGCATTGTTACATATGATATAACGTCTAATAAAATTGTATCCATGGTATTGCCTTGTATTGATCTTGATTTTGTGTTCTGTCATCTCATCTATCCTTCAGTCTAGTTACGTTGATGAAGATTAGACATCCAGCTAAACAATACTCATAGGTAATTCAATCTCTAAATTACGTAAGTAATTTATCCAGTAGTGGAGTTTGAATTTCTTATGAGTACTTTAGTTATTTGACCATTGGGGCACCACAGATGATCCCACAACCAGTTTTCTCCACCTTTCTTGATTTTCTGTTCCTCATGGTGTTATTCACTCAAACACACCTGTCCTTGATGCTGAACACCATCCACACGGGCAAAAAAAGACATCTGTCCTTGGTGCTGAATGCCATCCCTATACAGGCAAACACAACTTCATTGGCACTGAACACCATCCAAACACAGGTAAATGCCTGTCCTTGGTGCTGAACACCATCCATGTATAGGGAAACACGACTTCATTAGTGTGGAACACCATCCACACACAGAGACCTGTCCGTGGTGCTGAACACCATCCACACACACCTGTCTTTGGTGCTCCACCAGACTCCTTTTCAGGCTCAATAAATAGCAGAAATTGGCCTAAAAAGAATGTAACTGCCTAGGGGAGTTGGTCGGCCATAGAGGGTCCATGTTAATACGTGCTGAGTTGAAATGATATAACTACTAGTACTACACAATAAAATAACATTCTTTCCCTGCTAAGTACAAGGTATCAAGTACAAAATGTACAACATTTACTACAAAACAGTTCCGGTGGGTTTGTGCGGTTGTGGTGGGGTTATGACCAAGCCTGCACCTGGTAGCGCCGCCTGTGCTCCAGATTGTGATACACAACACCAGCAACAGCTGTCTGTGTCCCATATGTATTGCATTGTAACAGTTTCTCTAAAATAAAAAATTTCATTTAGCTCATTTGAGCCAAACTGTGTGGTTGTGGTGGGGTTATGACCATGCCTCCACCTGGTATCGCCGCCTGTGCTCCAGGTTGTGGATGTATCTGTCTGCTTCTGTCTCCCCCATGTTCCCATGTTCCATCAGTACTGACTGCAGGGCACTCTGTACGTCTGTAGGCATCTGTTTGGCATTCCTGCAACCAGAACAGCAGAAAAAGTAAGTAAAGAGAGACATCTGTGTTGGGAGTTACATGTTTAAAGTTAAAACTTTTGAAATTACTTGCTTTCTTGTTTAAAGTTAAAACTTTTGGTCCAACATGAAGTTTTCTCACCTAGAGCTTTCTACCAATCACTCTGGTCTACCAGACACCTTTGACCCAGTGTTGACGTCACACTTCAAAGAGGTCACATGACAAGCCTCACTGGGTCAGTCTACTGAGGAAGACCAGAGTGACTGGTTGAAAGCTCTAGGTGAGAAAACTTCTTTGTGTTGGATCAAAAGTTTTAACTTTAAACAAGAAAGCAAGTAATTTCCACCAGTATTCATTTACTGAAAGAATAAGGAAACAATTTTGCAAAATGAAAAATCAAAGTTGCCCTACCCTGCAACGAAGATCCACGCTTCTTGGTTATGGATAAGGTCCCAAATCACTGCTCCATTCTCTTTTATTCTGTGCTGAACGTAGATTTTCTCCTCCTGAAAGAGTGAAGAAAGGGTGTAAAAAATGACAAATTCCACGTTACACCAAAGTGACAGCAAATCGTTGTGAATTTCTTAATTGAATGTTGTGAATTCCTCACTGATTCTGTGGATATTCTACTGTCTCAATTTACTGTATTCATATTCCACTTCTTCCCAGCCTTTAGGGGACCATTTTGACGTTCCTTTCAGTCTATGGTCACGTTATTTCCTCCCTAACTTGCTGTGACACTACTGTATTCAAACACACAATACTGAATGGACACACAAAAAAGCAACAGACAAAAACCAAAACCTCCATACATGAAGGTAAAAAAATACGTCTGAAAAACTGACCTGGTCCCTGGAAAATGCAGTGTACACAGTAAGAAGTCCTTTCTCCATTAGTGGCTGCCATTCTGTTGCACAGAAGAAGTCTTTGTCCTTGTTCCGACATCCAAAGAACAAGAAATTTCCTGTGCCAAGAATGCAACACTGGCATCAACTACAGTGATTTTACTACAGTGCATTGGCATCCAGTGTCAAAAAACTGAAGGGATATTTCTAGTGACAGCTGTAGCAAGATTAGCCTGGGTGTCCTCCATTTTGTAACAGGGCTCCTTGCACTCACTACTTCAGTCTTGGGTACAGCAACGGGTGCCTGCAGGCTACAGCAAGATCTCACACATCAAATGTAGAAAATTTTGATTCCAAAATCATCTATTAAAGGGCCATGGAGGACCAAGTGCTATGGAGGAGACTTTCTGGATTGGTTCGAGCGAGATCTTGAACGAAGTAAGCTTGCTCTCCCTCCAAGTTGGTATGTACAATGTTTTTGTCTATTTAAAAAAAAGGTATGTCTCGACACCCACCTGTGATGCCCAGAGTGGTACGTTCCTGTATGTAACCCCTGAAGGGTGCCAGCCCTGTACCGGGTCCTACCATGATGACGGGGGTGGCAGGGGTCTTTGGGAAGGAGATAGTGCCCTTCCTTATCCACATAGGAACCCTGACATCATCTGTAAAGCAAATATACACTTATTTCAGCCATGATGACATTCCCTATCTGTGATTTTGAAGTTTTGAAGAAATTCAATACAGTATCACCTTTACTGTACTATAGTATAATTGTAATGTTACATGTACTATGTTGTATTACTTGTATTTGCTGCTGGTTTAGTTCAGTATTGTGTGTTTCATGGTGTGTGGACTACAGCATCAGCAGGAGTAGATGCCTGGTGTTCACTCAACATGTATTGTCCTTGTCGTATTTTGAAGAAAAAAAGGAACATCTTTATAAAGTACTTTAAGTCCATGTACCTTTCTGTGGGTTGAGAGCAGACAGCCATGTTGAACAGAGCCCCCTGCGAGGTGTCACCAGCTTGGTTTTGTACTGCACTACAGCCATCAGGATGTGCACTTCATGGGGATTCGCCTGGTTTGAAATGAAGACCACAATTCAGTGTTGAAAGAAGCAATATCTTGCATCTTATAGTTTATAATTATAATAGTGGTTTATTCAATTTTTAAACAATACATTACAGTTTTTATACAGCCAATTCCACCTGGCAGCTAGAGGATGAATTGCATGGGAGTTGTTTACACAGGAGTTTGTGACAATATAGCTAAATCTCATCTAGATCACACATCTGACATTCAAAAAGATTTCAGTACTTCAAGTTTTGTTGGTGAGGGCTCAAAATACCATACTGGGTTAGCATGGGTAAAATTGGAGCTGTGCAGGTATTTCTGATGTCTGCCTGCACCTAGTAATATACATCCATCCATGTACTGGGTGCAAATGAAATTTGTCTTGTACAGGTAATTTTCTATGTTTCCTGCACCAGTGCAAATATGCCAAAAAATATTTCGGGCTTACACAATGAATTTAAAAATACCGGTAGACCAGACAGGAGCCCCACCTAGCACATTTCATCAGAACTGCAGCATGACCTACCTGTAGAGAAGAAGCGATGGAGAAGGCCCTTGGCTGGACGGGTGGGATGAGATCAAACAGGTACTCTACAGGGATGGTGTTGGTGACATGAGGAAAGTCCTGTAGTACCTCTAGGGTTGTTCTTCTGGGGCGATTACAGTAAGCATACAGCTCTTCCTAAAGTAGTAACAAAAATTTTTTAGTTTGTTTCAAGTGGGGTCGTGTGGCAATGGCAGCGTGCGCGACTCGGAATCAAGAGGTCCTGGGTTCGAGTCCTGACATGCCACCGAGAGATATTCTATATGTTACTATCATGCCCTGTCAACATTTCCACTTATGTAGGCCAATTTGTACACAATTCAATGACAAAACGAGAAAACGTAATTAATTCCTGACACAATTTATTACTACATTGTATTAATAGAGTTAGATTAGTATAATTAGTGTCTCTCTTTTGTTATACATTGTTTATGAAGCAGATCAGATTCCTATTACAGTTAGTAGAACTGTTAGATATTCTCAACACCACCATATGTGTATGTTAACACCACAAACTATGTATGTATATTTTGCCATACGTTATACCCGCTACATCTGTTGCGCAATAAAGTTCTTCTTCTATCTGAATCCCACCTGGCCTTCTGCCGTGCTGAATTCCTGCAGTTTCTCCTTCTCCAGTTCGTTTTCAGCGAAGTAAGACAGAAGTGTGAAGAACCACCTCCTGGGCACAGCATGGATGTCCAGGTGATGTTCCACCAGGTGCTGTATGCTGCAGGGCTGGGGGAGGGTGGGGGGCAGGGGGACGTCTGGACACACAGGATCAATCAATTAATCAATCAATTGATCGATCAATCAATCAATCAACCAAATCAATCAATCAATCAATCAAATGGTTTATTTTCAACCGACTTAGCAGCACCAGGCTGAATTTTGTCAATTGTAACATTCATTTAAAATCTTAAACAAACATCATTGTACTAATGAAGCTCTGAAAAAGAAGTCTGAAACATAAGCAAGGTAAAAGACATTACTTATTGAATAAAAGAACATTCCAATATCCCCAAAACAAGCACCAAACATTTACAAGCATTTTCAGATATTGTTTTGTGCTGAAAAGTTCCATGGCAAGTTCAGGTTTTTTGTTCAGCACTACAATTGCATGTACATGTATATTGGGCCATTCTTACCTAGGGTCATTCTTTTGCAGCACAACCAGTATTGCAAGTCATTGGTTAAGGTTATACATCCAGGTAAACAATACTCACAGAAAATTCAAACTCTACTACTTGATAAATTATGGAAATAACTTTTCAACATTTCTAGCAACATTCAGCATTCTTCTTCTGGCAGTTAGAGCTAGTGTAAACACAGGGTAAGATCTCCTCTAACCTGGGTCGTTCTGCTGCAGTAGTATCCTGTCCTCAGGGTTGAGTTTAAGCAGTTGGATGAAGGTCTGCACCTCGTCTGGCAGGTTGGGAGGCTGGATCATCACTACATCTCCTGCTGCATGGCTGTGGAGGGGGGTATTTGATGGTTTATTGGGGCTCAAATAAACTGTATATGCAGGTTAGTGCAGGTAAAATTGGTACTGTGCAGGTATTTGTGATGTCTACCTGCACCCAAGTAAAGGATCCAGACTTGGCTTCAGAATTTTGGAGTTTTTTAGCTGTCTACCGAAACCTTTGGAGAAAAAAAGTCAGACAAGGAGTCGACCTACGCAACAAGGTTGCGGGAGGATCTAAGGTCTAAGGTAAGGTAAGGTTAGCTGTCTACTTCCATAACAGAAGACATGCAAAACATACAACTTTACAGTAACCATTTTCTCATCCACTTTTTCAGAATCAGAAAGTGTCATAAGAATCATAAAAATACCTCTTCCCCATTTTGTAATTATGTAAGTATTTTGTCATTGTGTTTTACTCATGTTTTTTATTAGAAGGCATCATATAAGCAACTGTGCTTCTTGCCTTTACTCAATAAATAAATAAATAAAATTACCTTAAGCCAGATCCAGACACATCCAGCTTAATCAGTCGCACATCCTGCCAGTGGTCGTGAGCGGTGACTCTGTCGTTGGACACCAGTCTGGCACAGAACGGGTTGTTCTGTGAAGGTTTAGACCCAGTCTTGTCTGCAGGTACATGCAGGCCGTTGATGCTGTCCTGGTCTCCATCCACAAACTGTACTTTGTACCTGGGAGGAGGCCTGAAAACACAAGAAATATACTATACATTGGACACCAGTCTGGCATAAAACGGACTATTCTGTGAAGGGTTGGATCCTGTACTGTCTGTAGGTACATGCAGGCCATTGATGCTGTCCTGGTCTCTATCCACAAACTGTACTTTGTACCTGGGAGGGGGTCTGAAAACACAAGAAATATACTATACATTGGACACTAGTCTGGCACAGAACGGGCTGTTCTGTGAAGGGTTAGAGCCAGTACTGTCTGTAGGTACATGCAGGCCGTTGATGCTGTCCTGGTCTCTATCCACAAACTGCACTTTGTACCTGGGAGGAGGTCTGGAAACACAAGAAATATACTATACATTGGACACTAGTCTCGCACAGAACGGTCTGTTCTGTGAAGGGTTGGATCCTGTACTGTATGTAGGTACATGCAGGCCGTTGATGCTGTCCTGGTCTCCATTCACAAACTGTACTTTGTACCTGGGAGGAGGCCTGAAAACAAGAAATATACTATACATTGGACACTAGTCTGGCACAGAACGGGTTGTTCTGTGAAGGGTTAGAGCCAGTCTTGTCTGTAGGTACATGCAGGCCGTTGATGCTGTCCTGGTCTCCATTTACAAACTGCACTTTGTATCTTGGAGGGGGTCTGGAAACACAAGAAATATACTATACATTGGACACTAGTCTGGCATAAAACGGACAATTCTGTGAAGGTTTAGACCCAGTCTTGTCTGTAGGTACATGCAGGCCGTTGATACTGTGCTGGTCTCTATCCACAAACTGTACTTTGTACCTGGGAGGAGGTCTGGAAATACAAGAAATATACTATAGACAGTCAACACTGTAAAAGAAGACACTTAGCCTGGGTACTGTCCTGGTTAGTTTACATCTGCTCCCACAGTCGCTACCAACCAACCAGCGACTGTGGGCGTGGACGTAAACTAACCAGGATGGTACCCAGGCTAGAAGACACGTAGGGGACTAATAAAATCTGGCCTATGTGGACAGGTGGTCACTATAGACAGAATTCTTAATGCTTTGTCAATGGGACAAAACTTTTCTAAGGGATCACCAAATAAGTGGTCACTCGTACAGGTTTGACTGTATGGTCAATGTCAATGATAGCCTTTTTTTTATTAATCTAGGTTCAGTATAAGTCAAATTAAGCACTGGCATCCTTGGGCATTATAGCCACAGACTAGGTCCCTCCACTAGAGAAGCAAAGTCACTGAGAATTATCCACAGTACATAGAAAGGCTTGCAGTTTTAACCATCTCCCTAGTGCCTAACCCAATAGCCAAGACAAATTTGGCAAACGACTGCCTTGGCAGGCTGAAGGTTAATATTTGACAATGACAATGACAATGAACTTTATTGTATATTCACGCTCTACATGAGCTAAATGCCAAGTTAGATAACTTGGGTACAAGTGTAGAAGAAACAGGTGTTACATTTCTGTGCTACGTATCTATCTACAGGATGTATCTACAAGATCTGTCTACAGGATCTCTTCTCTCTTTTTGACACATGTATGGACAAATTTATATAGTTTTTCATTTATTACATTGTAGTGCTTGGATGTCATAATATGTTTGAACAATTCTATTTTCGGTAAGCATGCATATTTCTTTTATATTTTGTATACTTGCATATTACACAATCAAATATACATGTAACAGGAAGAGTTACTCACAAGATGTGTTCACTGATGATAGTTTTGTCAGGAGGCAGAGGGTACAAACTCATCACCTTGTTCCACAGTACACCCAGCCACGGGTCCACCACTGCATCTGGTCTGCAACAAATATATCTGTTAATAGTTTGATCAGGTTGGTATGTCACTGAATAAAGAGACTCTCTTTACACAACCAAGTTGTATTTAGTCGATATTTTGGTGACCACCTGTCACCTTCTCAAAAACAAGGAAGAAAGCACATACATAACATAACTAATACATTTGTTGAAATGCAGATAGGGACAGCAACATGGCAGTTAGCACCTGCCTGTTTTATTGACATGGAAGAGGCATCGAAACATTATACATGTATAATAGTATTGGAAAATAACCTACCCCAGATCATGTTGGTCGTCTGCCAGTCCGAGGGTGTGGAGGGGGTTTCCACCCAGCTGCTGTAGTCTCTTCTGGAGCTTTTTGGCCACAAAGTTGAACCTGCAAGACCCCCATTTTGAGTCATGTTTCAGTCTCAACAATAATGAGCCAAAAAGTTCATCTGAGTTGGTAAATTACATTATGAAAAACTTAAACTGTTCTCCAACTCAAATTTGACTCACCAGAAATTTTCATGGGAAAAATCACGGGTCCACAGCATTTGGGTCAGATAGCTGAGGAAGACTGAGTGATTCAGTTGAAAATTTCTGGTGAGTCAAATTTTGAGTTGGAGAACAGTTTAAGTTTTTCATAATAATGAGCCAACATGATGTTACATTTCTTCAGACACACACAATATTCGGCTGCAACCTAATGTAAACTGATTACTTTATGGGGACTTAGTTTTTATACTATGGGAGGAAAGGAGACATCCACAGTAGACAGAGCATCAACATGCACACTACTGAAAATGGTCACAGTCCTAAATATGATGGCATGATGATGATGTTAAGCCATGGTCTACTGTTCACTATACTTGTTGAAAAGGGCTAGAATTTCCCTGAACAGATAGCCTGGTATCAAGTCTGATCGTGGTCGGGGCTGCAAGAGCTCTGTCCCGCCCGCCTCACATAGGCTTCCCGGTGTGTATTTCACGAAAGATTGACTAGCCCTCCAATCCCCAAGCATACTGTCTCTTATTAGCGTAACACTCCTACCGGGATGGCCTGTTGCACTGGGCGGGGGAAGCTATTAGAGCCCCCGAAGGCACAACCTGCCTGGACACCCCAATACTAGCACCCCCATTCACGTAAGACTGGATACCAGGCTACTGGACAATGGACCTGTATATAAGTTATAAAAGTCTATCTTCTCTGTCACAGCCAGTGGAAGATTGTTTCAGAATTCATCTGAGTTAAATTGGTTCCAGATTACTTTGACTTACTTTTGATAGGAAGAGTCCCCCAGGCCCAGCACAGCGAAGTTGAGCTGACACAGGGAGTTGGAGGGAAGATTCTTCCTCAGAAGGAACCTCCAAAATACCTGGAAAAAATGTTTTAAAACACTTAGATTAAGTTAGAACCATCATTTATAACTAGTCTTGATTCATGAAACAAAATGCCAGGAGTCTAATCTACAAAAATTGGCAGTATTGTTATTTATGTACTGAAAAAAATTTTCAGGGTTACCGTTACAAATCAGATGGCACCTACAGTAGGCTACAGCATAATATATGGCACTGTCTTCCAAACTTCCAAAGGCGACAGATTTTTTTTAAAGTGTTAAAAAATAAATTTAGGTTTTCACCCATTAAACTCAAAGTAATGCTTACCTTCATATTGTCTGGTTCGTCCCCCTGCCCAGTAGTGGAACACACAAATATCACCACTGGCTCATGGATAAGGGAGGCCTGTAAGGTGAAATATAATGTGACATCTGTATCTGTATCTGTATCTGTATAGCCGGTATAACCGCCTTTCGGCGTAACACACCAGCTTCGCAGGCACGCGGCGCGGCGGCAGCTGGCTATATTACACCGATCGACTTGTTACACCTAACCCTTGAACTTCTAGCTCTAGACATTGTTTAAAGCTATCTATTGACAGTGCCCCTACTGTACTTGGTGACAGTGAGTTCCACTCTGCGATAGTTCTAGGAAAGAATGAATTCTTGAACACCTCAATCCTTGGTTGATAACTCTGGTACTTGAATGCGTGGCTATTTCTTGTTCTCTTCTGGGCTGGTATTAGGTACTTAGTATAATGTATAAATCATCAAGAAGATATTTCATTGTTGTAAATTTTTAGCCAATGTGATCCAACAATGCAGTTAATATAATTAACGCATCAGTACACTGGTATTTGTTGTTGTTGTTTTTTTTTTTTTTACTTAAACTTAAGTGTTGCATCCAGTTCTGATTTGGTCCAGTGTAACGTTACTGGTATGCACTACTGTGTCAGATCAGGAATTTTATGTCTATCGTCAGCGGCTGAAAAAGGGCCTGGGGGTCAGGGGTTTTTGCTAGAGTCGACTGGGTGACCAGAACATTTTTTTCTAGGCCTTAGTCGCATGTCTTGAACTGTTTTTTCTCTTTGGTCATACATGTAGCATTATATCAGTTCTGATTGAAGCCAGTTTCTTCTATAGAACTGAATTAATCTATGTATAACCAGGAAAGGCTGCTGTGCACCCTTAAAGTGTCTGCTATAAAGGAGGCTACTAGTAGGAGGTTCCACTCACAATAGGATACTGGTCCATGGGGAGTACTTTGGTGGAGAAGTGTCGTCTCTTGGCTTCCCGCGCCGCTCGCTCGGCCACATCCTGGGCTGTGCCGGTCTGGCTGCCGTACAGGACCGTCAACCGACGGGAGTCCATCACTAACTAATACACTTTACAGACCAGGTCCACACCAATGCTGATCATAAGTACTGTGTAATAAACAAATAAACAATGAAAATGTTGGTCTCTTTGCCCTAGGGTCAAGGAAAAAATGTTGAATGTGTTTCTTGTTTCAGTCCTGAAAAAATTAGGGTCAGTAGGTAGGGATATTTTTTTCCTTTATAGACTTTTTCCCCCGTATAGGACTGTCAACCGATGGGAGTCCGTCGCTTACAGACGAGGTCAACAGCAACGATGATGCTACTGTGTAATTAACAAATAAACAATGATCAATGAAGATACATGTACGCCAAAAAACAGTTTCTCAAGCAACTAGATATGATTTTGGAAACAGTCAAAATGCAGTTGCTTGAGTAACTTTTTTTTTTGATGGATATCAATACCTGGATGTCTAACCTTCACCGACGGAACAGTGAAAATGTTGGTCCTTCTGTCCTAAGGAACATGTAAGAGTCTATCCTGTAATACCTAACAAGGCTGCTAGAGGGCACACATAATTGCTCTTGTTTGCTGGGAGATACAGGGCACTTATGGTTAGCAGGTGGGTACTAGTACATGTTGTAGGGAAGGAGGAATATCATTATCATTACAACATAGACTGGGCCATACACAATTATTACATTATTATACACATGTGTTGCCATGGTAACAGTGATATTTGCCAAAAAGGCACATTTTCATGTGTTTGATCAGCACATGTTTCATTCCGCAAAAATGTACAGTATTATAACCAAGGAGATTGTAATTTCTGGTGGTTGTTGTTAACTTATAATCAAGAAGGTTTAAATGAATGAATGAAAGACCTAATTATTTTACGTTTGTGCTCTAACAAGCTAAGTACAGGTCATGGGTAAACAGGGAAAAGAATACAGCAATGACACTTACATACTATATAAACTAATGTGTTCTACTATTTACAGGTTCAGCTTCTTCTCGCTTCTTGTACGAACATATTGAGCTAATGATAACGTTACATGGTTTGTCAAGTTTCATCTAACAAATGTCTAAAGCTTGGGAACTTATCTATTACACAAGTATAGAGGGAATCCCTCCAGGGTGTAAAATGAGTCTGTACTATATATTTACCTGACTTTAGTTAAGGGCAGGAAACAATGAAATAAAATTACCGCTATCTCTTGTCCACTTTCACGAGTTGGACTGCCACTGCTTCGGTGACCTGTCGTGACCTGAAATACTGGAAACTGCCATTCGAAATTAGGGGGGCTATGATATTTTAATACGGGGAGCGTTGAAAGATGTTAGTCCATCAGAAATTAATAAATTATTTTAACTGTTTTTATTAGAATAAGGTGATAATCATGACTCTATATTATCGATTAAATATACATAGAATGAATATAAATAATTTGCATTAGGAAAAGTGTCTACCTGTACAGTTCAATGGTATAATCTGTTGACCTTTGTTCTCTCCGACAAATCACTTCCGCCATACCTTGGAAGAGACATCGACGACCTTTTTTCCCGAAACAGGCTGGAGAAAAATACACCAGGAGACTACAGAACGAGGTTTTTAATCATAAACTTCAGAAGAAAGGACTGTGGTCGCTTCTACCGGTTCCAGAGTCGCCCGTGGCACAATTTGAGCCCGTTTTCGTGGGAAAGAACATCGTAAAATTTTCTGGTGATACGGCAGCTACGGAAGCGGCGATGTCGGGTTTGTATGACCACCACCACAGCTCCTTGAATCCATGAAACACTGCAGCAAAGAAATAGCTTCTCGCTGGAGAACCGAAGGCGTTTGCATCGCCTTTTCAACATAACCATCACACTTACGGAGCTACTGAGCCACTGTGGTGGTTCGTAGAGGTCAGAAAGAAGAAGACATATCGTCGGCAGCCAGCCATGTTGTTTTCTCTCAAAGAAGTAATCCAGTGGATCGGACTGTCGGCTTTCGAGCTGTGGCTTCACGTGGTGTCTCTGCTGGTGTTCAGCATCCTACTGGCTCTAAAGCTGGAGGGCGTTCTATCAACCACCTGGTGTGTAATACTTAAAGTCTAGGGGTGTTTGGTCTCTTAGCGCTTAAAACGTCTATATATATCACTATAAACGGAGATGCAAACCAGTTCTGTAAGAAGCAAGGAGGAGCCAGTAAAAACCCTTCTGGTCCCGGGCAGGGGTTTGAAACCCATGACCTCCTGGGCACCAGAGCTCCATAACCAGATGCTCTAATCGCTCGGCCGAAAAGGTCTAGACCCCTCGGCCGGGTCAGTTGGTAGCGCCTATAAACCCCCCACTGTTATGTAGTTCGATTACTTCTGCGAAATCCTATTTATTGATCTGTATGTTTACTTGACTAACAGGTATATGGTCTAATGCTTTACAAGGAGTTTAACGCTAATTATGGAGAGAGTTACCATAGGTCTAATATACAAATTATACAGTGTCAGAAAAATAATAAAATAATTTGACAGTACTTCTCTTCAGTAATGGAACATATTAGTTTTTGCTGAGTCAGACATTCTATGTACCTATTTCATCTTATATGGTGCACCTAAAAATTTTTTGTGCACACAATTATTTAGGTTGGGTGCACCAGTGCACCTATTTCCAAAAATGAATTTCAAGCCCTGAATAATAGTAATACCATAATCACAAAGGCCATATCCTTTACAGGTGGACCGTTTTCATCCCTCTGTTCGCCAGTGACGGCCTCCACGCCTACTTCTCCTCTATCGTGTTCCTGAGACTGAATCTGGAGGGAGACCTGAGAACTGCGGGAATACGCACGGCTTGGAGCGCTGTCGTCTTGGTACTAAGCTTTCATTTCATGTCAACAATTGCTTTTCGTGTCAACAATTGCAGTTGTATTTATATAGTTGTGCTTGGGAGGACAACTTTTAAAGGTGTCAATACACCTGTTTTTCCCTCCCTTCCACTTGTATGTTTGTACTTGTGGTGAATTCTAATAAACAAATAAACAATTTATTTCATTTATAACTTACAAAATCTTTCTCTCTCTCTCCCCCAGGTGTTGCTGTTTGCCTTTAAGATGCTTCTGTGTCAGAAGCTTGAGGACCAGAACAACCTGACATTCGCCATGATCATGTCTCCTGTCTTCATCCTGCTGCAGGTGCTCATGATCAGGGCCTGCCAAGTCGGGAACTGAAAGACTTTCACGTCAGTGAAGTTAGGCATCCGGGTATGCCAAAAACAGTTACTCAAACAACGGGATATGATTTTTGAAACGGTCAGACGTTTCAGGTAGCATTCCCTAGCTTTCGTCAGTGTCACTGGAGAGTTCTCAGAAAAGACATTCACTTTCATAAGTTATAGATATGTTAAAATGGACTTACTTTGTCACTGTACAGTACTGTCATTGTATGTTGTGTTATATAGTCAAAACTTTCTATGCATGGTTGTATATATTTTTGTGAATCACGCCAGGATTCTGACAAATAATTTCTTACACATTGGTACATGCACTGTATTCAATGGGCCCAACACAAGGGTGTTTTTCTGGCCCAGTGCTTTTGACTGTTGAGCATTGGACACTAAATTATAAAATGTTAATACATGTACATTGTACTACATGTACTAGCATTCATTCCAACATCTATACCACACAGTCAGGCTTTAATGTAGATAATAATTCACAGTCTTGAAATACCAAATAAGTCTATCAAGAGTGTATGAACACAGACTGGTTAAAAGTGTAGAATTGTGTGCTTGATTGTTGTTCTTATGGTGTAATAAACAATTAGATTTGAGTACTTGGCAGATTACTGCTTGCTTGTAAAAATGTAAGTACCTTAAAGTGAAGTTACATTGTTGCAGTAAAAAATTCAAATAAATATCGACCTTTTTTCAGCTTCCTTTATTTTCTTGTGTGTGTGTGTATGTATGTGCATGTGTGCATGTATGTGTGTGTATGTGCGTGTGTTGGTTATCTTGCCACGGCAAAATGCACTCTCATCTACATGTAGCAGACCATCTCCCCTGGCATGTTATATAATATCTCTCTATTTGGCCAAATTTTACTCCTTCCAGCCGCCCCCGAAGCCTGGTAGAGGCTAGGGGTATTAGTATTACGTCCAGGTAAAAGAGGTTAATGCCAGTGGAGTTGGTGCAAAAACAAAGGTGATCAGCTGAAAGAGTTCTACGCAGGAGTGTCGCAATAATCAATCTGATAATGTTCACGAAATAGCTGCTGTATTGCGTCACTGCAGCAGCGCCCCCTATCGGTAGGTCAGCGGCACTGCGGGTCGCCATGGGCGGGAGATGGGTGTTTTGGCACCAGCTCCTCGAGCACTGCGAGCGGGGCGATCTGATCGAGATCGACCGCAGGACGTACTACCACTGGTGCGTCTACATCGGGCAGGGGGACGTGGTGCAGCAGCGCCTCCTATCGGTAGGTCAGTGGCACTGCAGGTCGCCATGGGCGGGAGATGGGTGTTTTGGCACCAGCTCCTGGAGAACTGCGAACGCGGAGACCTAATCGAGATCGACCGCAGGACGTACTACCACTGGTGCGTGTACATCGGGCAGGGGGACGTGGTCCACCTCACTGGGGTCGATTCAAACGACGGGAAACCTGGAGGCTCTAAGCCAAGCTCTTCCTCCGCATCTTCCGCCAGCGTGTTCGGGGAGACTGCGCTGGTACGCCGACAACATCTCAGGTCAGCCCGCCGGTTATATTATACAAAGCACGTCGGCAGAACGTGTCACCAAGTGTTAGATAGTAGTAGAGAGCCTGTGACAATTGACTCTGAACTGAACCAAGCGTAAACCAGTGCCAAGAGACCACGTCTAGAGCCTAGAGAACAACAATAAACGTACTGCGCAGGTCAGGTCAGGCCGACAAGCAGATGTAGAAGGTCAAATCCTTAGATTGACGGCGATATTTTTCAGTTATAAAAGTCACTCCTGTTCAATTACATTTTCTTAACCTGGTGAACATTACATGCAGTATTATTTAATGTCTTGGGGTGGTGGGACTTCGGCGCACTGTATGTTTATCGCGCAAGCGCAGTATGCGTTTATATGTTAATTTGTTTTGTTGCGTGGCGCTACAATGTCCTTAATTGTTACTCAAAACAAATAACAAAAAAAGTTACTTAAGTAACTGGATATGATTTTTGGAAACGGTCAGACGTTTCAGGTAGTATCCACTACCTTTCTTCGGTGACAGTAGAGAACTTATCAATCATTATGATCACTTATTTGCATATGAATCAATAGTTCTTATAAACCTGCATTTCTGCACAAGTTCTCTAGTGTCACTGACGAAGGTAGTGGATGCTACCTGAAACGTCTGACCGTACCTTATTACCTGGACGTCTAACCTTCACCGACCGTCAGTACTGTATGTTGTATATATATAAAAGGGACGTGGCTGGGAACGACCGGTGCCGGGTAAACAACAAGTGGGACGGCAAGCACGAACCCCTAGAGCCGGACGAGGTGGTGGCAATGGCGGTGTCGTGCGTCGGGATGGAGATGTCATACGACGTGGTCGGGAGGAACTGCGAACATTTCGTCACCGCCTCCCGATACGGGCGGTCCGGAGGGTTCAGCGATCAGGTCACGTCAGCGAACATGATACTTTAAAAAATTAATTTCAGCACGTCATCAAAACGTACTGCGCTTCCAATCCTTTTATATGTGATGGTGGCTGTGTATGTGTGATGTTCCCACTGAATTAAAAAAAAAAAATTACACACAATAAATGAAAAACTTATTTTCCAAAGTTGTTTCGGTGACAAATGGATGTTGTAATAGTTGACAGTAAACACATCATCTATCATTTCTTGATTAACATGGTTTATAGTGTCAACATTTGAAAATGTAGGAATGTTGTTTTTTGGCCCGACTTGTTTCTTTTCGCTATATTGCATTAGATTTGGACTCTGCGGAGAATGTCATAAAAATTTCTTGCTGTGGCCTTACTGGTTGTGTCAAAGTAACAACATGTTGTTCCCCCTCCCCTTTTCAGGCGAACAACGCCGTGGCGGCAGTGGGCGGAGTCACCGGCGGCCTCATCATCGGGTTCCTGCTCAGTATGTTCTTCGGCCGGCGGTGACGTCAGGACGGAGAATGACTGAGCACAAGTCGATGTAAACGCACAGCTATTACTTGTAAACAATTTGTATGTGTATAGCAAGAAACAAGAACGGAGGTTTCCCCTCCAAATATTTATGAGCTACTAGAGATGATTTAAATCTTGTACATGTATCTTAAACTCCAATCTAGACAGTGTGCCCTGAAACTATGCAAAGTTGTCACTACCGAGTAAATGTACATATGTATTAAACTTAAAGCGACCAACACAATACCATGCATGTTTTAGCTAATATAATACTTGTACAGCTTATGCTATATTCTTATTCTTCGTTAAATATGTGATCATTATGCTAATTGCTATCATGTTGTTTTCCCATTGAATCAGTGCGAATACTGGTGTCTTAAAATACGTACAAGTTACTTGATATAGGTATTAGGTAATAAAAACAAAAATGAAAAGAAAATGTATCTGAGCTACATATATATATATATATATACAACATACTGGATCTTGGATGTTCCTGTGTGTATTTGTGTATATAAACATGTGCAATGAAGTGAGTTTCCACACCATAAAATGACTTGTTTGTCAACTTTATTAACATCAAAACACGGCAAAGGCAGTTCCAATACGATACATCTCTGTAACACCGGGACATGCTCCCCTATCCATGCTTTATCAGTTATCAGTCTGGCATATTAGAAATTCTTACACCTTCCTCTTGCTTATGTATGTACAAATACCAAACTTATCAATATAGAACAATTTTGTGTCTTCAATATTCCATGGATATCAATTAAATCACAAACTTTCCAGTCATAAATTCATTTCTTTACTTCTTGTTTAGGCCATGCACATTTCACAACTTAACCTTTTCATCAGATATTGTTGCAGACAGTGCTTCACCTCAGTCAAATCAAGGTCTCATTTTAAACCTCAAATCATTCTTGTCATATTTCATTGAGTTGGAAATTTATTTCCTTACAATTTGGCAAAATTTGGTGGCCACTTTATATAAGCTTTTCCCTTTACATGGCCTCAGTAACAATATCTCTCATTTCACAGCTCTAAACATTGTCACATTCACATACTAGTACTTGGAAGCAAATGTGCATTATGGCTTCCACTTCATGGCTTCATACCACTTTTCCTTCTCAAACTTTCCACATTTTTAGTACCTCAATAAGAATACTGTACTGCTTTTAACAGTCACATTTCTGCTCTCAAAAAATTCGAAAGGAGCCTCGAACCATTTTTAATACAACGATGCTAGTAGCGTACGCACTGTGCTTCACAGCATAGCAACGGTCACATCAAATATACCTGCTCTACAAAACTACATCAACACGGCATTTTTATCTTTCCGCTTATCAATACAGTCGAACCAGTAAAAAAATAGTTTCACTATAATGGCCTTAATGAGAGACAAGAATACATGGATTTTACTACAAACGGGCGTCACAAAAAGGTTCATACACAAAGCACAAGGCACTGACAACTACTGTTGTGTACGGCTAAATTTGTACAAAATATGCCACATTTAGTTGCACTTGTAGAAGAGGTTGGCATACGCACTGTTTCAACATTTTTTTTCTTCATCACAAATCCATGATGGGACCACGTTCACGTCTACCCAATACCTACTTAGGTCCACATTTTTTTTGCAGCATAGTTTTTACAATCTATATGATACACTTTGGTGACTTCGTTGGCCATGAAGATAAATTCTCATTGAGAAAATCAAACTTGTCTACCACTGAAACGTGTTAAGAAGTCAGAAAGCTGAGTCGGAGGGAACCCAAAACGGTTCCAAATGAAGGCCAGTAAGGCAGTTATGTCTACCACAGAGCTGACAACTTTTGGACGGATACAAGAATTTTGATCATACAAAGAAATCAGACGTACAGAATTACTAGGTGGTGTGTTGCATGGATCAAGTTGGTAGATACAAGAACATGACTAACTCCATCGCACTTCACAACACAAAAATCCCACCACACAAACAACACGGCTCCCTCTAGAAACTTCACCATCAAATAATCTCTATAAATTCATCCTGCTACGAAACAACTTTTTAATCCCCAATACCATCACATCAGGAAGAAACCACGATTTCAACATTTCATACTCCCTGACAACTTTTCTTTACAAATTTGGAGGATGAATAACATCTTTCTACAAAAGTTTTTGCAAGTCATCCTGCGAACAATGAACTTTTGAGAATCAAAACTGCATAGAACATAATAATATCGATTGACCTGACCGTACGTAGTGTCAATCGGTAAGCAAGTTATCATCCATTGCTACGTAATTCAAATTTCTCGCATGCAGTTTCAGGTGAGGAAACTAAATGCAGGCATGATTGCATATACCAAATGTCTAAATACTCTGATATCCTTTCAGTTAACCTTTCTAGATGCATATACATGCAAGAGAAGTATCTGAAGGTCTAAATCAAACCTTTTTTTTCTTCATAAACAGTTTTTTTGAGACTTACTGCTGCTTGACATACAAAAAGGAATATGATACATAAAGTGAATACATTTCCCGGAATTCTGAGTAGTAAACTTTTTCTTCACGGTACAGAGGCTAGTCTTGCGTGGTGGTGAAACAACTCCACTCATTCGTCTCATCGTTGTACCTGAAGGAAGGAATGAATGAATGAATGAATGAATGGTTTATTAAAATAGAACATTGCTGCCATAGGCTGAATTATGTACTATTTACAATAGGGTTCAATCCCAAACACACAAAATGCCTTTAAAAGAGAAATAATGTAGAATACTAATATTCTAAACACTAATGGCCTGCAATTCACCTGGGGTAAGGATAATAATAAAAACATTTAGCTTAGGAAAAATGTTAATTTGTAAACCCATGTACTCCTTTTTGTACCTTCATGCTTATCATCACAGTTCATTTTTCTACTTTAGCTGTTGTGTTACGCCGAAGGGCGGTTATACCGGCTATACAGATGCAGAAGCTGGTGTGTTAGGCCAAAGGGCGGTTATACCGGCTATACAGATGCAGAAGCTGGTGTGTTAGGCCGAAGGGCGGTTATACCGGCTATACAGCTACAGAAGCTGGTGTGTTACGACGAAGGGCGGTTATACCGGCTATACAGATACAGAAGCTTGTGTTACACTGAAAAGCAGTTATACCGGCTATACAGCTACAGAAGCTGGTGTGTTACGCTGAAGGGCGGTTATACCGGCTATACAGATACAGAAGCTTGTGTTACACTGAAAAGCGGTTATACCGGCGATACAGATACAGAAGCTGGTGTGTTACGCCGAAAAGCGGTTATACCGGCGATACAGATACAGAAACTAATTTGGAAACTTATTTTAGTAACTTTGACAGCCACATACCTCTCGATGGTGTTGAGGAATGTCTGTCCGTCGAAGCCCCCCACCGCGAAGAGATGCCCGTCCACCACGGCTACTCCCACGTTGGAGCGCGGCATGTTCATTCCTGCTACCGACGTCCACTTGCCGGTGTCCGGGTCGTAGCACTCCACCGAGTCCAGCGAGCTCACGCCGTCAAAACCGCCAACCGCGTACAGTTTACCTGGGGTGATGTAAACGAAAACATTCGGTTGGTTTGGTTTTCCAAGTTTTATGCCCATGATCATGATAATCATTCTTCACACTCATTGAGTGAGGAAAGTTGTTGAAGTGCCTTTCCCAAGGGCACAAGGTTGGTGACATGGCAGGATTCGAACCAGGAACCACTTGGTTCTGAGCCCAACGCTCTAACGTTAGGCCACATGACTCCACAAGCCACCAAATTTAGCTTGGGAAAAATGCTAATTTGGAAACTCATGTACTTACTATTTTGAATACCTTGTAACATGTACTTTTGAAAAGGTTTATATTTACTGCTTTAATGCTGAGGTTACATTTCCAACCCGGGACCCTGTCAAGCAGTTTCTGGGAATGAAAAGTATGATTTAAAAGACATCAAGTCACAAAAGCTTTGCAACGATTGGTTATGAGCACTATCTGTACATATTCTTGATATGAATCGTTTATTTTTCATTTACGTATTTACTGCACAGTCCAGCTGGGGCCAGGCTTGGAAATGTGACCTCAGCATAAGATTTCACTGAGCCTCCTTCCAGCTGATATAATCAAATCCACCCTGGTGATCATGAGTGGACATAAATGCTGACCTTTGTAAGCTGCTACCCCAGCCCCGCGCCTGGCAGTTTTGAGAGGAGCGATGGTTTTCCACTGTCCGTCGTCGGGGCTGTAGGCCTCGGCTGAACTCAGGCAGTTCCAGGAGTCAGTTCCACCTACAGCGAACACACTGCCGTCCAACGCACACACACCTGTCTGGTAACGCCCTGGAATAAACATTAACAGTGTCTTCAGTTGAACAGAGACAGTACAAACCACTACCTCAAGCCTGTATACAACTGTCTATTGCCTCGTGATAATCAACATAAAGTCATGTGACATGAAAACTCCGAGACAAGATCTGACTTGACAAGTTTGGTGAAGAGACAGAGTGCATCTCGAAAGCTCCCCAGAGTAGCTAACTCTTTTTGTAAGGTTTAAAATATTTGTCAAAAGGTTTCTTTAGTTACTGTTCCTCAAAGCAGTGATACTGACCAATTTTTCTGACTTTACCTTAGCTATTGGTAACATGTAGTGATCAATGAGGATCAGCATTCTAATCTGTTGCAGCAATAAACTAGTTCACACTTTGAAGTACCCATGCACAAGGTAATAAACAGTAATATGTGATACATAAATAATGTCCAGGGGCTTGCATCTTCGATTTACCACCTGCAATGTATCACACTGCCCATGCACACTTTAAACTATGAACTAGCTTACAGCTTCATTGTTGTTCTAACTTCTAAGGCTACAGAGAATTGTTAAAAGACTGCTCACCAGTGTTGAGTGGAGAGATGGGGTTCCATGTGTCTGTTTGTGGGTTGTAGACTTCACAGCTGCGCAGACCACACTGGCCACTCTGTCCACCTACTACATACAGCAGACCATCCTGTACTGCAACTCCTGGGGGAGGAGGGTTGGGAGCTTGTTTAGTGCCATCTACATTCTACAGTGTCTCTTTGTATTGGTATCTGTATCAGCAGTACAGGAAAACCAATAAATAAATATAAAATACAACACGGTGTATTCCGTATCGCCCGAGGTATCAGCCTGACTGCGATCCGACTCGCGGGAGGGCCGGGACCTAGGGCGATGCGGAATACACCGTGTTGTATTTTATTTATGTCATACACACTCAAAGAAAACGCCCCTTCAGTGCAAGATGCAAGAAGTTGGTGCCCCTAAACCCTAAAATGCAACAACATCAGTTCCAACGTCCGGATTCTGTATTCGAATTTTCGAAAGCAGTGCACACGGTTATTATTAGGGCAAAATGCGTTTGAATCGTTCTATGGAAGCCACGGAGCCCGGGCCGTACCATAAAGTACGGCCCTGTCCAGAACCTATTATCGAACATATGGCGGCCCGGGTATGATATAATGTCTAATCCCCTACCTGAGCTACACCTGCTAAACTTGCTGTTGGCCACAGTTTTCCACTCGTTGGTGTTCGGGTTGTAGCACTCCGCAGAGGTGAGCTCCTCCGAGCCGTTGGACCCCCCAACGGCGTACAGCTTTCCCTCGAGCACGGCCATCTCGAACCGGCCGCGCGAGGTGGACATGGCGTGCAGCGGGGTCCAGGTGTTCAGGCTCGGGTCGTAGGCCTCCACGGTGTCAAGGCACTCCTCACGGTTATGGCCACCTGTAAATGCAAAGAAGGTTGCATTATATTGGGCAAATCCACTGATGCAGTTAACAATCAAAATTACTTAGTAACTGTACTGAAAATTTTGCCTGCACTACATTGTATGTTATATTGATCTGCATACGTGCACTGAGCAGTTAACGTTTCAAGAAACCTTATTTGCACCACCTGTTTTCTGTCCTTTTCAGTCAACAAAAAAACTTTGAAAGTGGGTGGCCTAGAATTTTCCCCAAATTTGAAATACTGATATCTACTGCATAACAGTTTGGACTGGCTTTGAAGTTTAGACTGGTGCAGATAGACATCATGAATTAACCTGGACAACACCCCGCACATGCACAACTAAAAATAAAAATTCTCCAGAATGCATCATAACGTAGCGCTGCAAAGATTTTGGCCCCGTACCTGCAGCGATGAGTTTCCCGTTGAGTTCCACGGCACCAGCTCCACAGCGGGGGTGACTCATGGGCTCCATGAGGGTCATACTGCCCCCGATGTCCTCCACCATGGATGTCTGGCGCGACACGCAGCGGCTCTGGGCCCGCTCGTGCAGCGTTATCGCAGACAGACCCCCGTCCAGCATCGCGATGCACACATAGCTGTGGTCTGTGGAACGAAAAGAAATCAGACTTGTAATCACGAACATGAAAGATCATCTGTGTTGGTAGTTACATGTTTTACGTTAAAACTTTGGATGCACTTTCCAGCATCGTGATGCACACATAACTGTGATCAGTGGACCATTCTAACTTGTTGCCTAATCAAAGTTTAAGCGGAGTTCCTTCTTTATATACAATTTTCCTTACTTGTTTTTCGTATAGACTTTTCCTTAAGTAAGCTATTTTTGTTTACAACTTTATTCTATTACTAGAAACATATACTTAGAGCAGCTCCATACAGCTTTTTCATGTTGTATTGTGTTGTTCCAATCCAAAGAAGACCAGGCTATAAAAACAAGAATGGGCTAGTAAAGCAAAGATCCTTACCCGAGGTCTGTGTTGCTGCGATGAGTCCCCAGCCACAGTTGTCCTCTGTGTCCATGATGAGCTTCCGCGCGGCGCGGAGGCTTGTGGGGCTGCGCGGGCTCCTGTGTCCGTTCTGTTGGCCCTCCCGCCTCTTGTGTGGCGTCGTGGTCGACTTCTTACGCACGGCGCGGCGCTGGTAGTCCAGGATAACCTCATCTCCGCCCGCCAGGTCCTGGTCGGCCTCTTCGCAGTCGATCAGTTGTAGCTCCGGGGTCAACAACATAAGGTGCACCTGGTAGTGTACAGTAACAGAAGCCACAATGAAGCACAAGACATGTAGGCATGCTTTTCTACACACAAAAGGAATAAACATTGTCAGAGATGCACACAGTAGTCTCTGTCCCTCTCTCTCAGGGTGATGCCCTTCTTCAGTTCAAATGACTTCTCTTGTCACCCCTGTGCTTGCTCCCAGCCCCTCTGCCTTATAAACCACTGCTGCTGACAACAAGCTTTCATTAGAACACACTCGTTATTAATAATTATCGCTCGTCTGTGGAAGAGGATGCATTTTCCTCGTTATATAAGCAAAACACTTCCCCTTCTGCGAAAGATCTTTATGTAGATATACAGTTATATAGATATAAAACAAACGTACAAATTTTGCCCGAGAAAACTTTTCTGTGTGCAATACCTGTGCTCATGTTCCCACCCAATACAATAACCTTCCAGCTGAATAAGAATGTTTCTTAATAGTGAATCAGCTTCGAGGAACAACACTGAAAGACATGGAGAAGAGAAAAGGGGATAGGAGAGGGGAGGGGGACAGCTATTGTCCTAAAGGGTTAAGGGAAGAGTGCTTTAAGCAGGTCAAAGGTCGGCTTCTTCACCAGCAACGAAAGCACAGGTGTAAACAGGTTAAAGGGGGAGGATAGACAGGGAAAGCGAAAGAAGTTACACGGGATAAATTACAAAAAAAAATTGTGATTGAAACTTTTTTTTTTCAGTTACTCTCCAACCATGCTAAATTTTCCGAAACTTAGGATTCTTATAATCTCATTTTGGCATGAAGTTTATTTTGTATGTTGGTAATGCATCATTTTACAGCAAAAAAAAAAAAAAATTCTGATTGTTTCATGATTAGACACTGGAATAGCTACAATTTTTGGCAAGAATAAGCCTTTTTCTTTTAAAACAAAAATGTTTTTGAATGCTTCAACTGTGTCATTAACAAACTCCTTTTGAATAAAATTTAAATTTTGATTCAATTTTTGCTGTGTCGGTTTTTACAGCAAAAAAAAAACAAGCGTTCACAAACTCAAGATTCTCTGCTCTTGATGTCATGTTAAAGAGTGGACAAGAGTTTCCAAGTTTCAACTGCCAAACAAGGAACTCCCTTGTCCACGGTAATTTGGCCTCCCTGTGCTCAGAATTCGGCAGGGACTACTATAAAGACATTGCCAGCCTTGAGTAACACCTTTGACACTCCCTGCAAGGCAGCAGACTGACATTCTGTGACTGACGTCTTGTGCGGGCGGGCAACAGCAAACTGTGAACTTACCATGCAGAATGGACCTGTCATGCGCAAGCATTACTGCAATGCAGGGCTCTAGCCAGCTCAGATTTTTTTTCTATCAGCCCAGGTTCATGATTGCATCTGGAGAGAGAGTGCTCGCAATCTAGTGGGTAAATTCTGGATTTTTAAGCCTTTAAAAATGCAATTTTCCACATTTTGAGAGACAAATCATGGGGTTGAGTGTTGGTGGTTGAGGGTGGTCCTCATCATCATGAGGACCATTGGTGGTCCATTGGTGGTCCTATGGATGTTTTTTCTCTCTCAAGATTTTAGTCAGTTTTGTCCATCAATGTTGACGGATTGGTTCAAAAATTTTTCCATCGCACATCGTCAAGTTCCTGCAATGGACGGCAAAACGGGTGCTGGCTAGAGTCCTACTGCAATGTGTGTGATCTGCTGCCAAATGGCAAGTGCGGTGAAATACTCCGCCCCATAAGGGGGCACACAAAGCAGCGCAGACATGTCTGTCATTAGAGTACGGCTGTGAAGATAACGTAAGGTCAAGCATATTTTGGCAGCTCTGAAAATGACGAGGTGTTCATTCATGTCATGCCAAGGGGCCTACTACATTCCAACATGGCAAACAAGCTTGATGTAAAGCTTCCAAGTGCTGTAGGGAGTGTCAGAAGTGTATGTTCAAGGCTTCTGCAACGCGACGCACGTCGTAAAGTGACTGTCTTCCTCCAAAAGCAGCAAGCCTGTAAGGGTAATTATGCAGTTGTATCGCTTTCTTTGCTTTCTACTTTTTTTGTTCGTTTGTCTAGTTTTTTTTTTCTGTCTCTCTTTCTCTCGGATTGTCCTGCTGCAAAGAAATAGTCTCCAGTTGCTGGAGTAGGCTGCGTGCATGTGGTGGAAACTGCTACCGGTCGCCAGCTGGTCTCACCTACACTGCATCATTCTGGTGCATCTGTAATGTTCTCCCCCTGCAAGCTGCAATCATTGGTGACTACCTGTCGGATCAAGGAAGAGATTGAAAGGAAACCGTCAGTTGTGGGTAACAGTGTGTCGCAGTAGCACCAGAGAGAAACCCCTCCCTCCCCATCCAACACAATCAGCTCTAGAGGTGGGTACCGGTTCAGCTTGATCAGGTCCAAGTCTAGATCAATATCAAGAGAATCAGGTCCAGGTCTAAACCCGATTAGTAATTCCTGATTTTTTTCACTGTACTGTTGTGTTCTCTGTTTTCACTGTCATTTCTTTACCGGGAACTTATCATTACAGTGAACAAATAATTCCTGGACTTTCTTTTTTCTACACCTGTTGCCACTGTGAATACATAGAACTTTTGCTACCATGAACATAAAGTGAATTACAGTATTGTAGTACAGTAAAAATAACTTAGTACTACACTGAAAATCATATTTTGGAGAGTGAGACACAAGCACAGGTCTCAGTGAGTGCTACGAATTTTAAGTTATGCTTAAATTCTCAGAACATTGGAATGATAAATTAGTTATTTTCAATGCACAAGCATATGAATTAAGGCTAATCTAGCATAATTCAGGGTTATTTCTTTTACCTTTTATGACTAGGTTACATATAGTAAGATGTCTAAATAGAAATGATATAGTTGTACTTTGTTTTGAGTCAAAAAAAGAATCAGATCATAACTAACGTTCGGGTTTTTTCGTCACGGTTCTTGGATGTTGTTCAGAGTTGGACCAGGTTGTTTTGAGTCCAAAACAAGATCAGATCATGGAGTTCAGTTTTTTTTTTTTTTCGCTCAGTTCTTGGATGTTATTTGGACCAGGTTCAGCCAAACCAGTACCCACCCTTAGCCGCCTCCTAACTCAAATTCACTGTTACGCAGGGCCTTAGAGAGCCTTACTGTCGTAAGCAGCGTCTAACGCACATTACATTTAATGCTCCAGGTCCACCTTAGGACTGGAACACCTGAAACAAAGAACAAAACAAGACAGTGTTGTCCAATGGCAGATTGAACAAAACATATCGAGTGAAAAAACAACATCCTCAAGCAGCCTGTCAAAGTATTGAAGAAAGTGGAGTAAAAGTTTTGCCTACTAGTACTACTTTCACAGGCTGATATAACCATGTGTGTGAATCATACAAAAGGCCACAGCAAGTAAATTCTATGGATAACAACAAATACATCCTTTGCAGACTCAAAATCTAATGCAAAATCTAGTCCAAAATTTGCAAAGTAGAAAAAACAAAGAAAAATATTGTAAGAAGAAATGAAGAATTGAGGTGTAAGAACATGGTATCACCGTATAACAAGTCTTTCATTCCTATACTGTATTCCAAGTGCAGAGAGTGACACAAGTGTGGTAAAGACACACATAAAATCTCCTTGCTGTGGCCAAACATATGATTCCGGTACAAGACAACATTCTAAGCGTGCCAGGGCACTAAAATTTTGGGCAAAACTTCCTCCTATTGGTAGTTTTGAACCACAACCACAACATAAAAAATTTCATCTATAAGACCAACCATATGATAGTGGAAGATCTGACACTTAAAAAACCTGGCACAAGACAATGTTTGCTTCCAGGCCTATCACTGGAAGCCCCTCCTTCACTAAGTGTTTGTAAGAAGACTGTGACGTGACTGAGTTTTACCTGCTCCATAAGGTCCTTGACGTCCTCAGTGCTGTCTGCCACCAGTTTCTGTGCCCACTCCACCACCAGGTTGAAGAGAGTCAGGTCTCCGATGCTGGACGGGGTGTCCGCTTCTTTTCTGATCAACTCAACCTGGACATTGGGAAAAAAAGATTTAGCATTTCTAAACTGAGGTTCCTGTTGCTGAATAGACTCGTTTTACCCAACCAAGCTTCATTACGCTGGTGTGTTACATCGAAAGGTGGCTATACCAGCTATACAGAAACAGAAGCTGGTGTGTTACACCGAAGAGCAGTTATACTGGCTATACAGATACAGAAGCTGGTGTGTTACACCGAAAGGCGGTTATACTGGCTATACAGATACATTATGACAGTAAGCTGAATAAATTCTATCCCATAGCATACTGATATCTGTAAGGCAAAAATGCAATGTCGCAGATGGAATACGGTTGCTTGTTTTCTATCATAGGCTAGTTCTAGGCAGTACCCAAAAAATTGAGACACCTCAAACAGCTTGTCTTGGTGCGATTTCAAATGCTTCAAATATTACATGATGACAAAAATGTGCAGTAAATAAGAAATGGCAGAAAATGTCAAGGTTGACAAATTTCCTTATTTGTGTATTTTTTTTGCTGGCCTAAAAATGCAACTGAATGCCTTTAACTCAGTTCTATTACGGTGGCCCCTTACCTGCAGTCGAGGCAGCAGCAGGAATTCCTTGTTGACTGAAACCTCCATGATGTTGTCCCTGATGTACTTGTCTACCACACTGATGAGTTCGTGGTCGTTAACGGCGTAGGCAAACGATCTCACACCTGTAGCAACACAGAAGCACGTCAGGAAAGTTAAATAAAGTGAAAGTGACCTCAAACCAGTTTAGCTCATTGAACATTTGAAGAGCTAATCTTCCACTGGTCGTGACAGAGAAGACAGACGCTATGTACAGTATTTACAGGTTCATTGTACTGGGGAATTCCCCCTAGCTCTTTTCGACAAGCACAATGAACAGTGGACCACGGCTTAACGTCCCGTCCTAAGGACTGCGATCCTAAACAGTAGCGTGCATGTCGGGTGAGCGACAACAGCCAGGATTCAAACTCCCAACCTCTTATTAGTCCAGAGGATACAGGACAGGCTGTAGTTTGTTTCAGTTCAGCTAGAGGGCACTGCTAGTTTTACTTTCCTACTGATTAGGATCAGGTCTAAGAGAGATGCCTACTCCTAACATATTCGACAACATGGTAGGAAAATTTTGTAAAAAATGTCGGCTTCATTGTTAACTTACAAGAGTTACTAAATGAGCCAAATACTGTACTATGTCAGGGTATTTCTGATGTCTACCTGTACAGTGTACCATGTACTGGAATTAAAGTCTCTTTTTAGGCTGTACATGTAATATAAATATTTTGTATTGACTGGTACCACCTCCATTTTGAATCAAGTGCAAAAAAACAAAGATATTGGTTTGTGAGCAGTTTTTACTTTTCAGTGTTGTAATCCGTAGTTCATAAATTCTAAAGGTATGCAGAAAAGTATTTTAAGAGCTCCATATTTGCTAAACTCAGTACAAGCTTGTAAACCGTAACTCTCGCGAGATGTGGTCGCTGAAAATTTGATCTCTGTAAATTGTGTGTTGGAATAAAGTTTAACGTTTTACTATGATTACTACCAACACAGATGAACTTTCATGATAATCAGTAGAAGCAGTTTTCGCCCACTCACCGACACTGTTGGCGGGTGTAAGGTGTGTGGCCAGGTAGTTGGAGCAGGTTTTTCTCACACTCTCCATACGGAACAGTTTGGCCGCTGAGTACAAGTCACAAACATGCTCTCCCTGGACGCACAATCTGCAAGGTAAATAAGACTTGTTGTCAACATGGTGTTGCGACAGGAATATATAACATCATCTCTGTAATATGACGCTGCCAAGTAAAAGTGTTTTTCAAGTATGTTCAAGGCATTTTCGAAGATTGCACACTGAGAAAATGTAACATTAAAGGAGGTGGAGGTTTATTGCTGACAAGTTGAAGATTCTTTTTTAAAGATTGAAGATTTTTAAGTCCAAAGTTATCTTTTTTTTAAAACCTTCTTTAAAGCCCATATAAATATGTTTAGGTTGCACATACAGTACCATCCATATAGTACCCTGTATATGTACGAATGGGGGGTATTTCTCGTGCAATGCATCACACCACAGCGAAATGCAACAAATGTGGAAGTGACTATGCCACCACAGGGCAAAATAGTCAAGGGCTTATGACCTGACTAGGACATAAAACTATTGAAACATACCGGCATTGTATTAAAAAAATGCCAGCAGGACAAGTGTTAAGAAAGTACAATCTAGTACCTTGAAGTGTAGGCAAAGTCGACAAGTTTCTCGACCGCGGCAGGGCTGGCGTTCTCGATCTGGTACCTCAGGTGGTTGCTGCCCTCCACTTCCGAGTTGAAGAGCTCGAACAGGTACGGACTACAGCAGGCCAGTAAGGCACGGTGCGCCGGAATGTCGTTTGGACCAACCTATAGGGGATCAATACAGGCGGAGTAAGGCACGGTGCACCGGAATGTCGTTCGGACCAACCTATAGGGGATCAATACAGGCGGAGTAAGGCACGGTGCGCCGGAATGTCGTTCGGACCAACCTATAGGGGATCAATACAGGCGGAGTAAGGCACGGTGCGCCGGAATGTCGTTCGGACCAACCTATAGGGGATCAATACAGATGGAGTAAGGCACGGTGTGCCGGAATGTCGTTCGGACCAACCTATAAGGGATCAATACAGATGGGACATCATTATCTGTCTGGACATAATGATAGTCATTATCATACCACATGCACAGAAGTTATATCTGCACACAAGATTAAGGATATCTGATATCTAAGGATATCTGAGATTAAAGATATCTAAACATCTGCTCAATTCACAATCTGACCAATCCTTTAGCTGATTATATTTAGAACAAATAAAAGGACAAAAATGATGTGCACCATTATGACTTCAAAAGTGTCTTAAAGTTAAAAGGCAAAAAAACAACAGCAAAATATGGCATACAACATTTACACTAAACCATTCTTTCTCAATCATCTATACTCTTTTTAATTTTTAATTATAGAAAAATGAGATTTTGCTGTCAAAAGATGCTGCAAATCTTCCTATCAATTTCAATTGTATAAAACATAACTATGCTCTCTAGCTGAAAAGATTTTTGTTTCAAACAATCAAAAATGCTAGTGTACTGGGAAATGGCAAGAATCCAATGAAATTTTATGCCTGAGCAAAGCGCTGTACACACTGGATTGCTCTGTCTGACCTTTGTCAGATGATGAACGATCTTGGGTCACAAAATTCACACCAAAAAGCTTTACACGGCAGAGTATCATTTCCATGACCTAGTCGGCAGATTCACACAAAAATATTACATTACACGTCACATGTACATTACTGGATGGTGTGTCATACATGTACAATTTGCATGTGGATGGTGTGAAGTAGAATTTAGTATAAGATAAATAGACTATAGAGCAATATTGCATGCAGCAATACTGTGTATACGTCGATTTTTGGCAAAAGACCAAAATTTCAGCCAGACATAATCGGCAGACTTACACAAAAATATAACATTACACGTCACATGTACATTACTACTATTGGGTAGCCATGTCATACATACAGTTTGACAGTTTTATAGGTGGCTGTCGATTAGAATTTAGTAAAAGACAAAGAGCAATATTACAAGCAGCAATACTGTGTATACATCGATTTTTGGCAAAAGACCAAAATTTCAGCGAGTCTGTTTGCTAACACAAGGCCGTAAAATGGCTGCGTAAGTACATATTTGTTATATATAGCAACCTTAAGCCAGCTTCAACTTTTAAACCCGTACCTCATCCATGAAATAGGACCTGCGTAATGACATAACATTACACGGTAAAGCATATGACCACACTCGAGTCGGACCAGACACATATTTCATACAGATGCAGACAAAATTGATTTTTGCATCAGCCGGGATATTCAATCATCATTTTGTGAGCGTTGTCACTTATACTTACTACATACATGTGTAAGCATCACTTGAAGCTTTGGCTTATTCATTGATGCACAAATGTGCAATATTCAAAACTGTCACATTTTATCTTCTTGAGACTCAAAAATTGCTTCTGATTTTTTTTATGCTGCGTCTTTTGTGAGAACATGCAAATTTTTAGCAGTTTGCAATGCCCAATTTTTTTACTAATAAACGAATATCACATAATTCACATTCGATTACATCATGAGCAAAAACATGCAGTGTGCACAGTCAGGATCATTAATATTATTAGTCAGATATTAGCATAGTCAGTCACGCTGACAGGTATGAGTGTGCCACTTTAATAGTTAACCATCTACAAACACTGTCTTGTGACTACAATATTTGCATTTATTTCTCAGGCATATCTACATAGGTATGTTACAGTCAGGTTTTAAAGCTATACTATCAAAAACTATTAATTTTTCAAAAATGCAAGAAACTAACTTACTGATACATTTCCTCTGTCATTTCAACGTTATAACTTACAACACTGCTTTTTGAAATCTTACTTCCAAATGCCATGATCCAAAGTTAATAATGCATTTTTCCACAATAATTCTAACGCTACTTACAGGACTTCTATATGATAAACCAGGTGATACTACGTCCTCAATTCCAGCATAACATTAGGAATATTAATCTGCCTATCAAAAGAGATGTTCACACAGCCATAATATCCCATTTTCTGTGAGTTATTATAGCAAAGATATATCACTACGTAATACTTCGTAGGCTATTTTTAATTTAATTTTATAAGCTAATTGCAGGGCTCGAAATACTTTTTTCTGCATACCTTCAATGCAGCAAATAAAAAACCAACAAGACTGGCAATGAAAACATACATTGCCATAGCGACACTGTGTGGTTGCTGTTAGGGTTATTGTTTGCATGGCAAAAAAAAAAGTGAAAGTGATCTCGAGCCAGTTTAGCTCACTGAAGAGCTAATCTTCCACTGGTCGTGACAGAGAAGACAGACGCTATGTACAGTATTTACAGGTTCATTGTACCGGGGAAATTCCCCTAGCTCTTTTCGACAAGCACAATGAGCAGTGGACCACGGCTTAACGTCCCGTCCGAAGGACTGCGACCCTAAACAGTAGCGTGCATGTCGGGTGAGCGACATTAGCCGGGATTCGAACTCCCGACCTCTTAGTCCAGAGGCAGGATCGCTAACCACTGGACTACGCACTGCCATCATATCATGATTTGGAGGAAAACTTGGTTAAGTCTAGACAGATACAAATAAAAAATGAAAAAGTAAAACTCGAAGTTCAGCATAATCTAGAGCTTTTGAGGAATGAAAGCACACGTTGCACATCGTCCACCAGCCTAAGCTTTCTATTGGAGAAGGGCTGAACATGAGTCCAAAGCTAATGCATCATTATGACAGGGCCGTTCTATTTCTGCAGTTAACTTAGAGAACCTTTAACATTCCTCAGCCCCTCTGACGTCAGGGCAGGGATGCACCATCTGCCCCTGTCGATATCCCTGCCCTGAGGTCACGTGGACCAACATGAATCGCATCTTATTTTAAGCTGGCATCTGAATTTACACGTTGCTTACAACCATGCTTGACGTTAGCATGACTGTATGTTGACGTATGAACATCATACGCAAGTGTTCACATGATTATTCCTGCTATTCCCAGGCTAGCCAACATTCATCAATGTTGTAGTGGCATTTCCAGGGCAAAACTGCTGTACATACATGACTCATGTATGACCCTTGTGGGCAAAGATTACTCTCCAAGTAGAGGCTTTAGCTTTGACTTATTCTAGGCATGTTTTTTGACATTTTAACTGTCTTTTTTGCTTTGGCATTTTTGTTTTTTATGCCTTATGGTGGCAAATGGATAGTGCCCTGCTAATTTGATATTGTATAGCAGCCACCAAAAGATCTGCTTGGGGATTAGTCGAATATTACAGAGAATTCATGCGTAGTAATTTCATCCAAAATTACTTCCTGGGAATAATGGTATGAACATGGCAAAAAGTCAGTTCTACCGGTGGTACGTTGTAGTGTCATTTTCAGGGGAAAACTACATGACTTATTACTTGACCCTTGTAGGCAAAGACTACAAGGTATTCATGCATAGCCATTTCTCTACATTATTATGTACAATTACTTCTTGCAAATATTAGTACAAACATGTCAGTCAGTTTTACCATTGTAGACATGCCATTTCTACATACTGTACAGGATTCATTATTTGACAATGGTACATGTAGTCTTTGCTACTAAGTATTCATGCAGTCATTTCTCTACATCATGCTACAATTACTTCTTGGAAATATCAGTACAAACCCAGCAAAAACTGTCAGGGTCATCCTTACCTGCAGAATAACGTCACAGAAATGTCTGTTTTTCCTCAGCGTGTTGAGCAACAGAACAACATCAGTTTAAACCTGCAGTTAGCCTTCAGCAGAGCCATTTCTCTACACTATTATATACATTTACTTGAATGTTAGACTCAGCCTTACCTGCAGGATAACGTCACAGAAATGTCTGTTTTTCCTCAGTGCGTTGAGCTGGCCCATAGTGGTGGTGAGGTACGTCGGGTCCTCAAACACCAGCTGGGTCGTTCCCGGATCCCCCGTCATCTCTGGCTTCTCTTCAGGGTATCTGTGGACCAACACAACAACATCAGTAACAAGCGGTTAACATTCAGCATCAGGTAGCCTCCGTAGCAGGCGTATAGAACTGGGAGTTTGGTGGCGTTCGGCTGTTTTCTGATTAGCCCAGTTCTAAAAAACGGGGGTAATTCAACCAGACAGGCTATGTTGTCTATATGCAATCAGAAAATAGCACCCAAAGACCCCCAAAATCCCCAGTTTTTGGCATGCTATGGAGGCTAAGCAGGTCTTGCCAGAAATTTTCAGTGGAGAGGTGCTCCCTAATCAGTTGATGTCGCGAAAAAAAAAATCAGCATATTTTTATGAAAATACAGATACAGAATGAAATACAGGGAGAGCATGGCTACTACAGTACAAGCTGTTGCCGGGCACCTTGCTCCCAAAATGAATCTGCAATACACAGTGGCTATTTTAGACAGCATATTTTCATGAAAATATGCAGCGAAAACCCTAAATTTTAACATTTTGGGAGTGGTGCTAGGATTTTAGGGAGAGGGGGAGCACCCTTGCTTCATTGCTTGGGGTGAGCTCTGAGCGTGCTAAGGCAGCCGTTTGGCTCCAAAATTTGCACTGGTTATGGACAATATGGGGTTAGGTAGCAGGGAGGAGGCTAAAATCTAAATCACCAGGCAATGAAATAGATGACAAAACGGACAGTGACTGTACAGCCATTAACCAGCATTCAGCAAGCTATGGCAGCCTTTTGGCTCCAAAATTTGTACTGGATATGGGTTTAGGCAGCAAATTTAAATCACCAGGCAATGAAACAGATGGTAAAATGGAGAGCAACTGTATAGCACATGTGCCTTGCAAATTCATTTGTTGTAGCCATGCATGCAATGAAAGGCCATGTACAGATACAGAACGAATTTGCAAATGTACAAACACAGATACAGAATGAAATACTGGCAAAACGTAGAGTGGCTGTACAACGTGCGTTGCTAATTCATTTTGGTAGCAAGGTGCCTGGCAACAGTCTGCATTGTTGTAGCCATGCGTGCGATGAAAGGCCAAGTACAGAGTTACAGAATGAACTTGCAAATGTACAGATTATACAGATACAGAATGAAACACTGTAAGAGCATGGCTACTACAGTACAAGCTGTTGCCGGGCACCTCACTCCAAAATTGAATCAGCAATGCACAGAGGCTCTCTACAGAAAACACCCAGGCTGGATACCCACATGTCCATGACAATCACCATGCCGCTGGTACAGTGCTAGCTCTGTGCTCGGAGCACGCGGCCAGTCAGGGGAAATATCAGCTTTGAAGGGAGGGAAGACAGGGAGCTAGCTAGCGTGGACCATGCGCTGACGTGAGGTGGGCAGGAATAGAACCATGCATATGCATGCCACAGGACGGCTCATCATGCCAGGGGTGTGTGTGTGTCATCACATTTCTTATTCATACATTCTCCGCGTGGCTTCTCAGACGGATTCATATTGCTGGGTGACTCATACCCCATCACACCATCATCCCATAGTCTGCTAACGTTTTTTTTCCAATCCTCAATCAGTTTATGGTACCGTAAAATTTATTTCAGGAAATATGGCTAGCCATTTGGCCTTGTTCAGTTTCCAGGTTGGGTCTTTAAATATGTCTCAGACGGATTCATATTGTTGGGTGACTCAATATCCCTTCGCACCATCATCCCATAGTCTGCCAACGTTTTTTTTTTTTTCAATCCTTTATCAGTTTATGGTACCGTAAAATTCATTTCAGGAAATATGGCTAGTCATTTGGCCTTGTTCAGTTTCCAGGTTGTTTTTTTAATAATGTTTCAGACGGATTCATATTGCTGGGGGACTAATACCCCATCGCACCATTATCCCATAGTCTGCCAACGTTTTTTTTTTTAATCCTTTAACAGTTTATGGTACCGTAAAATTCATTTCAGGAAATATGGCTAGCCATTTGGCCTTGTTCAGTTTCCAGGTTGGGTCTTTAAAAAAACGGATTCATATTGTTGGGTGACTCATACCCCATTGCTCCAACATCTGCTTGTACGCCAATCTTTATCAGTTTATGATATAAAATTCATTTCTTAAGCCATGTCAGGAAATATGGCTAGCCATTTGGCCTTGTTCAGTTTCCAGGTTGGGTCTTTAAAATCTGTTTCAGAGAGAAAGATTGATATTACTGGGTGACATACGCCATCATCCGATAGTGTGCAGATGTCGTTTTTTTTAAAATCCTTTATCAGTTTATGCTATCGTAAAATTCACTTCTTAAGCCATGTCAGGAAATAAGGCTAGCCATTTGGCCTTGTTCAGTTTCCAGGGGGTTGGGTCTTTAAAAGAGAGATAGATATTGCTAGGTGACTCATACCCCATCACACCATCATCCAACAGTGCACCATCGTCATTTTTTTATAAAAAAAATCCTTTATCAGTTTGTGCTACCATATAATTCACTTCTGAAGCCATGTCAGGAAATACGCCTAGCCATTTGGCCTTGTTCAGTTTCCAGGTTGGGCCCTCAAATCTGTTTCAGAGAGATAACACCATCATATGCACAGGGTTCCAAAACCGCAACCCGGTACCCTAATGCCAGTCTAATTGGTGTTACAAACTAGGAATTACATCGGAGAGCCAAGAGCCAAAAGCCAAGCAGGTTCAGCCGTGTATGGCTAATACTAACAACTCCTGTCCATCTCATGTTTACGGTTCGGTCAGTTAAAGGACAAAGATGTCGGTGAAGGCTGATGTAGGCATGTGCCAACTACTGTAATTCCTGATTTTTTCACTGTTTTCACTGTCACTTTTGTACCGTGAACTTATCACAGTTAACAAATAATTCCTGGACTTTCTTTTTTTCCTGCACCTGTCGCCACAGTGAATATATAGTTCCTTGAACATGTCTATTTTTCTCAGACGTGAACTTTTGCTATAACGTGAATTACAGTAATCTCCAAGCAGATTATATGGTGGCAAGGCAGTATCCATTGGCCAGAGGAGTGTCCCTTTGCAGTGGCCAATAGATACTGTCTGGCAGTGAATACTGCCTGGCCAATTTGATACTGTCTTTGAAGCCATGGAAAGATCTGCTGGGAGATTATCTGTCAACCACAACTAGGGCCTGTCATTTCCTGCTGGGCAATGCTGGGAACAGGTGCAGAGCAGGATGAATAATGAGGCTGTGTATCACTCACCAGACAAATGGATGGTAATAGAAGGTGTAATGTACAAGTAGTGTTACTGTTGCAGCTGCTCCGAACTGACAAATGCTTGACATAGTTTTGTATTTCAAGTTTCTAGCTTTCTGCTTGGGTATCCTTGTATCAGAGTACTAGCCCCTAAGCATTCTGTTAACTTAGAGAAAAAAAGCTTTATTTCTGAAGAAAAGAATTCGAAGCAACTAAAATACAGATATGTAGATGCTACAGTTGCTAAGAAAACCCTTAATGTTTACATACAGACAGATATACAGCAAGTGCACCGTGGTTGGACATAACTTGAAACCACGTCCCAACTCGTGTCAATTAAACATGCATTACAGAGGGACATTTTCCAACTGTTGGTGGGATCACACTTCTGGTTGCAGGAGGCCATCCCCCTAGGCAAATTTGTATTGGGGTACCGCGCTACGCAACCCTTGCATAGCAATCCTTGGACTGCTGAATATATTGGACCGTTTCCAGAGATAGTCTTATCCCCCAGCATAGTGAAGTGCATGTCGCACGTAGAAAATGTAAGCCTCGGCCAAAACAGTGATTAGTTTCCTCACAAGACCAGCTGTTTGTAAACTAGAGTTTGGAATAGTGCTGTGTACCGGTTTGCTGGACCGGTTCTGGACTTGTAAAAATGTTAAGGTTCAAGTCCAAAAAAACCTAAAAGTCAAGAACCGATTCTGGAATTATGACAAAAAAAAAAAACATGTCACATATTCCTTTTCTTTCCAAACCACCTAAAACCTTCTGTAGATTGCAAGATCTGTGCTGCAAAATGAATAAAACATTGCCATCGGGCATCGTCAAGTGTCGGCCTCCATGTTGTGTGGCCAAAGTTTTGCCCAAACAACATTGTAAGGTTGCCAACATGCAGTTTTGTATATGCCATGGGTTTATGTCCAGACTTACAAGTCCGGAACTGAACCTAAACCTCTGGACTTGAAATGTGGGTTTACGTACACAGCACTAGCTTGGAAGGATGCTACTGCCATGATCCTCACCTAATCCCCTCCCCCTTCACAGAAAACAATACCCATAACATTACTTCAAGTACAACATGCACTCAACAGAAAAAAACTAATGACCCTGTCAAGTGTCAACCATCAAATGAAGTCTGGCAAAAACAACCTCATTACCAAGGGGTCAGGTCACACTGACAAAGATAAAAAATTCTGAGAACTAGATGAAGTGTTTTACAGGATGCATAACTGCTTTCTTCACCCCATTTTGATATGACAAGGCACCGTCTTGATATAAAAATGTAGCTTTAACACTGAAGCACAGTTTCAAAGACAGAACATCACTTCGAACACCGACACACTGGCGAACCTATACAATTTATCTGCCACTGCAACGCAACAGGTCAAGACAAATGTTTGACCCTGTAAGTCTTTTCAGGTACATGCTTAGACCAGGATTCAAGGCATGGCACTTGATGTTCAACCAATATTTCTGTGTTCTTATTTTACTGAGCACTGTTGCCTTAACAGCATTATGCTTTCAAAAAAACAAACACCTGTTATGACACCCACTATTCTACCGAGAAAAAAAAATCTGTCATGCCCGAGAATACAAAAATCAATATATTCTCCTAAAAATGTTTAGGGTATCTATTTTCGCACCACCAAAGTTGACAAGTTGGCACAGTAATACATGAATAGGCAATATAAAGAAGTCTTCTATACCATTTTCTCAGTGAAACAGCAAGAACAGTCAAATTTCTCTTCTTAAATTAAGCATCTTATCAACAAAAAGAACCTGTTTCTATTGCCATGGTGATGACCTAGCTATCTCACCTATACCCCAAGGTACAGTATAAGAAACCGTTTGTTAATTGAGTAATTAGGGATGCCCTCAAGGCATAACTTCAGTCATATGATCAGCCACTTTGGGAATTGGTGATCTCCTTTTGTCTTGTAGTAGCTTCCAGACAAGGTATTAACAGGCAATAATTAAGTAATTCCCAAGTTGATAGAGTAAGCAATAGACCATTATACAATCTGTCATTTTTATAACAAGACTACATGTCTGTCTAATACTAGTAATAGCAGGGCTCGAAATATTGGATGCATGTGCACCTTAGATTGGAGTTGTATACTAGTACCCAATTTTTTTCTGAGGGTGCACCAGTGCACCCAAACATTTTCAAGGGTTCACATGTTAAGATATTAAATGTATACTACTATATAGAATATTCTTGTGTCAGAAAAATAAGAAAATCTTTGTTGTAGTATTAACAAGACGAGTTTCGAGCCCTGAATAATCAGAATGTGTTAAAACTGTCTTCATGCATGAGGGAGAAAATGCAAATTCTGACTACGGCTATGTCATTCCTGCCAAGCCAGAGCATAAAACATAAAATGGCCACATGAACAGAATGCTTCAAATGGCTCCATGCCAGGCTACAAAAATTCCAGACAATCGAGCATGCTTGGAAGTGGAAAATCTATCTCTGCCCAAATACTTGCTGAAAGACAAAATATTCAGCTATCATAGTATCATGCACATTGTAGCAGGGTTTGGTTTTAAGCAAGAAAAATACTTCCTCCCTACCCATTTTGCATCATTGTGGCTGGAGGCAGGCTCCCAAATCCTCCCGCTGCTTTCTGGAAAATTCTGATAACAGATAGACAATTCCCGTCCGATTAGCCTGCCGTCATAGCGATCTGGCACGGTGAGACTGTTTCTATGGCAACGGTTTAGGCCACTGATGGATCCATACCTCACATCAAATTACAGAGATTTCCGATACGCAATCAACCAACCACCCAACCCTGGCTGCCTATAGAAGGCTTATACTATAGGTGTTGTATGGAAAAACACTGACATGCAGGGCTGGAAATACCACCTGCAAATGCAGGTAAAATTGGAGCTGTGCAGGTACTTCTGATGTCTACACCTGCACCTAACCTGCACTGGTCCATGTACTGGGTTTATAAATTATATGTACATGAAAATTTGTAGATGTATGTGGATTCTTAATTGTTGAATTGACTGTTACTGCCTATGATGAAGCATAAAAGAAACAACAGCAATAATTTCTAAACAGTTTTGGTAATGATCCACAATTTTCAAAGTGGTGCAGGTAAAATTCTTCTGGTGCCGGTATGCAGTAAAAAAGGATTTCAAGCT